AGGCTCCGGGGAAGTGCCACGGCCTCACAGATAACCGGCGTGAAGTGGATGTATTAAACTTTCGTGGTCAGTGAGGTAACGGGGCCCACTTTTAAAGGATTTAGATGTTGTCAACGCATCTGTGAGCACTCGGGTGTTGCAGATGTCCGTGGGCGGCGGTATTCGTTTAACTGCAAACTGCAAACTTTGCAAGTTGAAGTGACAGTGGGCAGGCCACATCGCTCCGAGAACTGCCCGATGGGAAGTAAAAGTTCTCGAGTGGCGACCACGAACCGGAAGACGTAGCGTTGGAAGGCCTCCCTCTAGGTGGACCGACGACATCATAAGAGTCGCGGGGAACCGGTGGATGCAAATGGCAAAGTGTCGTTCGTTGTGGCGTTCTAAGGGGGAGGCCTATGTTCAACAGTGGACGTCTTGGGAATGATGATGATGATCTGAACTGCATGTACGCTTGAGAACTTGTCACAAAAAAAAAGTTAGCGTACGGGCCAGGCTGAAATGTTTTTACGTATAAAATCTCATAGTTAGTCTCGGCTGCCGTCAACTTTATTTAAATGCAGTGTCATTTATTTTACTCAGTAGCAGCTTACAGTATCTTGAAGTCTTGCATTGTTGGTGGACTTGGATTTAATTTTTATCACTGTTTCCCAAGGCGGTGGTAAAGTGCCAGCATCTTCTCTATTGAAATTTTTGTGTTTCTTAATTTCGATACAATCGCGAATTATCCTTGGAAGTCGACAGGAGTTTGAATGAAGAATAAACGCGAAAAATCCCAAGCAATGAGTTTTATTTCTTGTGTATTCGCTTAACCTCATGATCTTTCGTTATCACAAAATTTTTTTCGCCGCTGTGGGAATTGAACCCATGTTTTCAAGATTCGCGCCCTGTAGACAATGTAGATAAAAGGCGTCGAGATATTCTACGGTGTGGCATTCAGCCGTTTTGATTAGTAGTGGGTTCGATTCCTTCGTTTAATCTTAAGTGCAGAGATTAGCACTAAAAATTAAATTTTTTAATTTAATTTAGTTATACAGTGAGTGACGAATGACGCTTATCTGACCACTCAATAACGAAACACCAATGGATACAACAGACACCGGTATTCGACACTAGGAATGTTCAAAGGTGAACTACGCCTACAAGCATCTTATCAATTTAGCTAGATTCAGATTGAACTTCTTCACGGGTCTGATCAGAACCGGAATCCATAATGCGGGGTCAGACTACGCTGCCGTCGTCTGGCTACAACCAGATGACGGCCGCAGTTGCGCCTAGCCGAAATAAGTGGACCGGTGCTGTCAGTAAACACGAGTAGCTACCGGTCAAAGCGCGTCAGATGTACACCTTTACAACACATCGCTTCAGTATACCAACCTTTAATTAACACACCATACGTCATGTATCTGTCCTCTGAAAAGATACGTAACATTGGAGTGTCTATTTTTTAGGTCAAAATGAGAAGGTTACAAGACATTTGAGACTGGAGGCCCCGGTTACCTCACTCAACATACGAAACGCAGAAGTGTAACACTGCTACTTCACGCCGGTGTTGCGTGGTCGTGGTATTTACCCGGACGCAGCTGCCCATTCGTGCAACAGCAACCACAGCCGTGTGGTCGTTGTTGGGTTAGACATATACGATGGCAAGTGGCATCCCAATGGTTAAGCCTAAACGTGCGCAAACGAAAATTTACCTTATAAATAATAACAAATAAATATATCCATGGTTATATACAACGATACCTAATCCCTGACAAAGCAAAGCTTGTGTAGCAATAAGTAACTGATGATCATATTCAAGCATATTCTTATTTTGTAAATAAATACACACTAAAGAAACATTCAGGGATTAGAAAATACTGTGTTCATCACAAAATATATTTCCAGTAGTGGAGAGTGGTCTCTAGATCCGTATTAATTAATTGCTGATCACATGAACCGGGTGCAATTTGAACCCAAGAGCCGTATCGGCAAACATATAGCTTAAGCAATACGTCAACAGTGACAACGGCAAAGTATCAAATATATGTTTGGCACATTATGACCCCTGAACATAAATGTGTAAACATCTCTACAAAGGTAGAGTCTTATACATGAGCTAAACAAATTATATGTGACCTCCTTAAGTATCTGTAAGGTCAATTTATTGTACAAACTACATAGAGTAATACAGAGAGTTCTGAGCCAGATTATAATATAAGGCAGAGATATTATAAAATGAGCCAAATTAAAAATGATTTAAAGAGAAAAAAAAAATCTCCTTTTACATATAATAAGGTCTCAGTTTACGCTATATACAGAATAATAGAGAGATGAAAATCAAGATGTAATGTTCGTATACGTCATAGATAATGTATAAACATAATCTAATATTTACAATATGACCTTTCTAAATAGGCGTAGAGGGGTTCACATAGTAGCAAAAGATCACTACATAGTATAAAACAAAGTCGTCCCGCTGTCTGTCTGTCCGTATGTATGCTTAGATCTTTAACTGTACGCAACGGATCTTGATGCGGTTTTTTACTAGATAGAGTGATCCAAGAGGAAGGTTTATATGTATAATAATACATTGCACCCGTGCGAAGCCGGGTCGAGTCTCTAGTACAAGAGTAAAATTGCGAAATTGTCACACGGTATCGCGATCAGGCACCGAATAGTCATATAATGATTTTTAAATAAATATTAATCAATGATAGGTATCATAAATTGGAGAGTTGAAATCTTTAACCACTAAGGCATGTTCGGGCAACTGCGCAGATGAAACACACATGATTTTTCCATACAAAACGTGTTTCCGAATCGAGTGACAGCGGTGATATTGTTCATGGCTGAATGACGGCTTTGCCTTTTCTACACGGGAAAAACCTAATAAAAAAAGTCGATAAAGTGTAGTTAAAACAAGAACATTATTGTAGACTTCAAGGTTATGAGTTAAGTTTAAATCACCTTAATGGAGTACGGTTATCTTTGAGCACATGTTATGTGATGTCCATGTGTATATCACTAATTTCATATATTGGCGTCATCGTATATCGTGGGTCGAATAATAAATCGTCGTCCATTTTGTTTTTATATTCTAGAAGTTTCTAACAATTCACAGCGTCTAGTCTCAAGATAGATAGAACTAAACAGCCTCAAAAAAGGCGAGAAAATCCGTAGTAGGTTTATTTTGTTTACATTACAAAGTAAAGGGAAGATAACAAGATACGATTGCAACAACGAAAATTAAGTTCAAAGTCAAAATGGAAAGTGCTAAATTTGCATGCTGAAGTCAGCTTAATGTGTTGCACTAAATTATTGTAATTAAGATCACAATGTATTACCATATTCTGGCAATTCATCAAGACATTCATTCATTCATAATCAAAATTTCTAATTTGTGACCCTTACTACCTTTGGGACAAGACTCTACGTAGAGAACTATTAGTATTCTCTAACTTGAATGAAGAAACAAAAACTTTCTAATCCCTTATAAAAGTTGAAATCTACGACTAGTTTACTAAATTAGGCCGGTTCAACAAAAAGTGACAATTCAAATCTTTCCAGTCTAGTTTTTATGTATGATGACTCCGTGGCGCAGCTGCCAAGGTATTGGCTACGGCGTCGGGGGTCGTGGGTTCGATTCCCACATGGGACAACTATTTGTGCGACCCACAATTAGTTGTTTCGGATCTGGGTGTTTATCCATGTAAAATTTATGTTTGTAAGACAACCTTAAAACACAGGATAATGTTATCCTAAAGTAACGGCAATGTTTTTTTTTTAAAAACAATTAGATAACATTTATTTTTCTAAATACTTTCAATCAATCACAATCAATCTACCGGCACCTAGGTGGGGTCGACACATGTGAATCATGTTGTTAATGGTATTAACTAGCCCCATTACGACTGGGCCCATGGCTGACGACCAACCTCTTTGGAATAAACAACCAGACCCGGTAAAAGTATCTATAGTCAGCCAAATATATGTCCCGTGTAGGAAACGAATCTATAACAAACCACCATGTCACCAATTCATCACTTGTAATAAAATAATATCAGCATAGAATCAAAAATTCTGCCATAATACAAGGTATCACGGGGTAAATAAGGAACTGGTTCATAAGGTGAAACTGTCGTCATTTTATATCGGGGACGAATTGAATTATAATAGTGCTTTTAGACTGTAAACAATCCGAAAAATGTAAAACCCATTGTTCCTTACATGCAAGGCTGTGAACCTATGACCCTAGATTCGAGTTGATGTATCACTCCACTGGTGAATTATTTATTTTTTATTAAATTATTTTAATTTAAATATTCGCACACAAACGTTCTTCGGTATATAAAATAAAATGGATATCAATGTTAACACCAAAGTTCAAAAAAAATACTTGTGCGTTGTTGTTTACGTAGTGCTGGTAGAGCGAGTTGGGGTGAGATTAAAAGGATGCGTTTGAACATCACGAGCTTATGGGATCGTCAAACCTACATTTCTTTTCAGAATCTAAGAAAAGTAAGCATATGATTAGTATGATATTTAGCAATGTTGATATAAACACGCTCTACCGCTCTATTGAAAGAGCTTAGATTTAAGTTTAACTACTTTTTAGTATAATTTAAGAATTAAATAAACAATGCACAGTACGACAATAACAGAGCCAAAAAAAAGGAATCGTCAAAAATTAAGACCGTAGCGTTTAAAATTTAATTTACTGATACCGAATTAAGTAGTCTTACATTTAATAGAATTGTAAATAAAAATTGCAGACACCTTTATCTGAATCATTGACACAGATTAATTTCCAGTGCAGATATAAAAAGTAAACCGCCAGTGGTTCGCCAAATAGTTCGGAGTCTATCGGCAAACCTCTTTCGCGTCGCGTTCTATCGTACGCGTCGAACCGACAATAAACTTTTTATATTCCGCGAAGAGCGAACGGGATAGCCAGGGGAGGGCTTACACTGTCACTGTTAGCGTATTTATAGTTGGCGCGAAACGGCCAATTAAATTACCTCTTATGGGGAACGGCTTCGTCATGATCGTCTCCGACGTCGGCGGCAGCAGCCGCTTCGTCTCCGGCGACATGGCGCTCGTGCATAGGTTCAGCTCGTGTTTCTTCCCGTCACAGTGGCTGTTCACGCCGCCGCGGAGGCGCAGCGACGGGCCGTTTGCTACATCCATCTGCGCGCGCTACCGTCGCATGACTGACGCGAGTGGGGGGGCCAAGCGCGAGCGCCGCGCGAATGCGAGCCGGCCGCGCCGACACAATCACTATCAGCTGATTCCGTGGAAACTTATGGAACGACGCGTGACGGCGATATTAGCGTGTAGCTCTGTCTCGCTCTTCTAGCGAGCGCGGATTCCGGTGCGCAGTTAGCGTGCGCGTATGCCGGGTGCACTGATGCGTTATGGTCGAACGGATAACGTTTATTGCCGATGTATTAATGAACGGACATTCGATCCGAAACAACACGAGACGTCCTACGCGTCGGACGTTATTGACGAAACTGATTGAAATCGAGAGAGAGTGGAATTCGCTTCGGTTCGGGCATTCTGCCATCGTATCTCGAGTTCGGATCATTTACGTCAACGTGTCGCTTGACGGCTGCTCTTTTGTGTATGTGTGCGAATGTACGCCCAGCACAAAAATTTTGATGCTAAAACCGATTCAATTAGACCATTTATGGGTATATCTCAGTAATGTCCTGCGTGCTCTACTACGTAATCGTGATTGATCCGAATGTATTTGCACAAACAATTCGCATAATATCAGTTTCGACGTAATCAATTTCATGTAATACACTTAGAGCGTTTTGCAAAGTTAAACAACTGTCTTAACGCGTAATCAGGTAATTTACACAAGTTACATATCCATCCACATTGGAATTGCTAAAGAGCTTAAATGGCATTGTAAAGAGAATAAGTGATAATAGTTATAATAGCTTATGTTTCTAAAGACTTATTCTTTTCAAAGGAAGTTCATGTCCTCAAACTTTAGCCACGGTGACACAGTAGCTTGTGGCGTCGCTTTTATCCGGCTCACCCCAGTTCGGTTACAACTCGTACAAAATCAATAATTATGGAGAGCTTTCTTAGGGAACGTCTAGTAGTAGACTATTAAAATACAATTTGTATTCTCGACAATCAATTAAAGTGTACTAATATAATGCATTTTTATTTCCCCCTATATTCTTATATGCCTTGCCAAAATATTTAAGAACTTCCTGTGAAACGTCATGAAAATCGCGATATATAACTTTTGAATTAAATTTTGATGACATTAAGCATAATATTTTTATTTGTGTAGTAATCCGTATTCTTACACCGATTTAAACACTTACGTTGGTCAAGGGAAACGGATCGTTAAATAAGAAAAAAAAACGGTCAGACAATTCACAAACGGTGACATCCGCGTTGTGGGCGAAAACATACAACAATGTCTCGTCTTTTGCGTGTAATCTTCGCATCCTCCGCAGATGTGCCCACAAGAGCGTTGCCCCGCCGTTATAATGACAGCTGATTAACCTAACAAGAAACGTCAGTGAAATAGAGGAAACTGGAAATCTTTTGACATGTTTTAACTTCTGAGTATTAGGGATGTGTTTACACGTACGTCAGTAAGGATATTGAAAGTTTCACAAGTAAGAATAATATATAAAGCTCGAAAATCAGTTGTATAGACATAATCTCATAGAAACTATTGTCTATTATCGATCTTTTGGTCATTTAGTTTTTAATAGTATGAAGACTTAATGCTTAAACTTAATTCATGACGCATAAAAAAGTTTGTATGTAAAACAATGTCCATGAAAATAAATGTACACGTGCTCTATGGTCAGCGACGCCTCGCCTTCTTACGTGGGCGCAATTAAACAGATTAAATATAAAAATAGCGCAGCGGAAACCCGCGCAAACCTGTAATCTATTTATTCGACGCTCGCACTACTATGGTATTGCGCCGCGAAAAGTAATAATTTCGTTTCCAGTAGTTCGTACTTTTATGAGTATTTAAGACTGAATAGGCTAGTGAAGTGATTTAATCCTTATTATAATTTGCCACGGCGCAGCCGTTAGTATCTGTTTTGTAAGATTGTTAGAAACAAAGATAGACACCATAATTAACACTAATCCAAATGCAAATATGTTTTGTATAGATGATAACAACAATGTCAACATTACGCGTACTCAAGGTACACTCGTGTCCCGGTGTGACTCTCGTCACTCCCAACTAACGAAGTCCATGTCACGGTCAGCATGGACCCCGACAACCCGTAGCCGGCAATCATCTCATTTTCTTTTTTATTGATGCGCACTTGTCCACGTGTGATCCTCATTAGGCTCTGTTCTGCAGTCTGCAGGCTTCAAATTCTTAGGTAATAAACATATCCATGAGCTCTGTGCTCTTTGAAGTTTTATAGTCTAGGGACTGAAAGTTCAATCCATAAACAAGTATACATAACAAATATGTTCTTATGAGTGTGTATGTATATATATGTATGTATTTTTATGTTTTTGATTTAATCATATATTATGTATGTTACTATTGCACCACCTACGTAGTAAACGTTTATTTACGCCATTGGTTGCCTGGAAGAGATCGCCATGAAGGGATAAGATCGCATGCGTTATGCATTGCATACATTGTGCGTTTCTCCATTGTTAATTTTGTATATCCCTTATATGTGTGGTGGATAATAAAGTATCCATTCGTTCATTCATTCAAGTAAGATTTTTTTTTATGTGAGAGGGTGGCATGCCGCTCATGGACATTAGCAACACCCGAAGGCTGCAGATGCGTTGCGCCTTTTAACAACGTGGGCCCCGGTTACCTCACTCACCAGAACTAGGTTTTTTTTTAAATATACCTTACCCCGTGATAGCTCAGTGTCCGGGTGCTCGCCTTTAATTCAATATACCCGAGCAACTTGAGTTCGATCCCCGGTGCCGGCACCAATGAAGTTTTTATGTTTAAGTGCTGACTTATCACGTGCTCCGCGGTGAAGGAAAACATCGTGAGGAAACCTGCATATTTTCGAAATAATAACAAAATATATGTGAAGTCTGCCAATCCGCAGTGGGGCCGCGTGGTGGACTAAGCCCTGATACCCTTTGTATAAAGGAGGCCTTTGCCCAGCAGTGGGACATGTAAAGGCTTCCTTTACTTTACTTTATACCTTACCCACACCCCTGAAATAGTCTTTACATATTATGTCCATTCAAAGGTTGCCTGTAAGAAATTGCTTTAATTAATAAGGCTGCCCATTGTATAATTCTTACGTAATTGCTGTGTGTGCAATAAAGAATATTAAATCAATTAACCAGAAAAAAACGCAGAAGAGCAACACTTGCACTTCACACCGGTCTTCTGTGAGATCGTGGTACTTACCCGGACGGACCTTTCTTTCTTGCCTAACTTGTTCTCACAGTGATAATATCGTCAGTTGAAATATCAATTAATGTAACCGCCAAAAGGCGACTTTACAGGAGAGGCAAAAAACTAAATTACGATTCACAAAAATAGTTGTAACTTTTTACATACTTATCCTATCGCATCGCTGTTTGGAGCATTTTTTTCAAAATTCTCACATCTGATCTCTGAAAGAAACCATAAGAAGCCTACTATTATCATTTAGAAGATGGCACGGTGGTTACGTTAATTTTATTTTTTAAATATCGCGTTACGTTAAGATTTTTTGTAATCTTATCCTTTAAACGAGCAATTCTTGTATATATATATATATATATATAATCGGAATCTCGGAAACGGCTCCAGCGATTTTCATGAAATTTAGTATTTGCATAGATTCGGGGGCGAAAAATCGTTCTAGCTAGGTTTCATTTTTAGAAAATGTCCTTTTATCACTGTTTTCAGGGAATGAAAAATATAATTCGAATATGACGGTAAATTTCGCCGCAAGAGAAAATGTCATAATAGCTCGGTCGGTAATCGGGCGGCCCCAAAACAGACGGCCGTGGTTCGCGTCACGATCATTTACACATTTATTTTTTTACTTTTTTTTTCGATTCCAGATCATTGTTTTCTATATTTTTAATTTTTTGTCGATTTGTTATTTTGTTATTTTATTCCCTTTTTTTTTAAAGTTCTTTCTTTTGTGAAAAAGATCAGTTCATATTTTCTTATTATTACGTCAGTAAAATCGAAAAATATTATGCATATTTCATTACTCAGTAATTTGTATCTAAATGTAATTTCCAAAATACACGATTTACCAAAAAAAAAATCAAACCTCCTCCGGGTACTAAATAATAACAGCTATAATGTAACTCATAGAGTTTTCAAGACGTCGACATAAGTTGTGATGTATTGGCTGAAGACGTTACGTACTTAATCTCTTAAAATATGGGCAAGGTTAGAATAAATGCTATATTTTTATTAATTTAAGTTAAAAATTCTTTTTGATGAATACCAACAATTTTCAAGTTTTTCATTATAAATTTTACATCCATCTCATTTAAATAGGTTTTCTTAATTATCCTTGTTCTAACTCCCCCTTTTTCCATCGTATTCTCCCCAGGTGTAGTAACAGAATCCATTTTGAGTTTTGGGTTCATAACAGAGTCAAATTATAAACTGCACACTTTCTTGAGTATTAAAGCAGCATACTCTAGCCATGTGGGGGTATTAAGGACTTTCTGGAGGTCAAAATTAGCTATCACAGTGGAGTTGCCCTTATCTACCAGATATATACCATGCTATAAACGAAGTGAAATATATTCTGATGTATTTCACTTCGTTTATAACATGGTTTTTAGATGATTTTTGTAATCATGGGTCTCCTTTTCATTCATACCTGCATAGGAAAATTACGGAAAAGACGTTCACTCAGATAGTCATGTGAATTGTCTTCGCAATATTATACGTAAAGACGGCAGAGTTTAGTCACACTTAAAATATTGAGATAAATATGATAGTACTGGCAAATCTTCTATGTATTTTGTAGCAAAATTGTTGATATTTTCATTGTATTTATTGTCAGCATGATGAGTTCGCTATTACATTTTTACAAGATTGACTCTTACATTACCGACTTTGTTTCACATTGGGCCAAATTCATCGTTACATTAACCCATACTTTGATCATTCTCATAAAATGTATTATACATCACAAAAATGTATAAAAATTATTAAAAACAGTCGGATTTTTTTTAAAGTAATCGCCATTATTTTCATCATATCGAGATTTTAAAGATACCAATCGATGGAGCGAAAAATTTGCAGACGAACTGTATATTTAACTCAATTTCGTCATTTTGGCGGTTACATTAATTGATATTACAACTGACGATATGTAATACAATGTAATACAATCTTTATCATTAACAGGAATTGTATTAACTTCGCAAGACTAGCCGACAATAGTACAATAACATATTCACCGCTATTATGTATACAACAAGGAAGATTTTATTTATTTATTAACGTTAATAACAGCTATGGACGCTAGACTCGAACCAAGTAATTGTTCGGCGAAATTGTAACTTCCGGCTACTTCTGCGAATGGCAACCGGCTAAATAGCGACCATTGTATTGGTGTTTTTTATGTGACAAGTTGCCAAGCGAGCAGGCGGTTCACCTGATGTTAAGTGAATACCGCCGCCCATGGACATCTGCTACACCTGAGGTTGCAGATGCGTTGACAACCTTTTGAAATTGGGCTCCGGCTACCTCACTCAGCAGACGAAACACGAAACTATTATACTTCCACTTTACGCCGGTCTTCTGTGAGGTCGTGGTACTTACCCGGACGAGCCTGCCTATTCGTGCAACAGCCGAGGCTGCTGCGTGGCCCTACCACAGTTTGGTGAGTGGTATTGAAACAAAGTAACAATGTCTAGTAGCTAAGACCGACCTCGATGTAAGTTCTGATTAGCGATATAAACACTCGAATATTAAATCGTAAGTTTTTGCAGTTAAATGAACAAAAACTTTCGGCGCTGCGGGATTCGAAATTACGTCTTCTGGTTTCGCGCCCAGACGCTTTTCCAACTAAAGCCCGGTCCCTATATTCAACGAACGGCCGTTAGTTACATTGTCAATATGAAGTCGTTACAACGCGTCGTTATGAAAGTTACGAAGTCATGTAACTAACGTCCGGAACCGGGCGTCAGCTAAGCGGTCGATGACCTCGCGGCGCGCGAAAATCTCGACATAATGTATCTACGTTTGGTCTATTGCCTTTTTTAAAATTCAAATAGTAGCAAGTACGCCAAAGTTCTTGCAAAACCACTGTTTCAGTTTGTATCAGATGTACGGGCGTACGGATGTACTGGCTCGTCATCTTTGATCTACGGGACGATATAAATTCGGTAAATATTGGACAGTGTTTGTGTGTGTGGACAGTGTTTTTATTTAAGAAGGTGTGTGTACAGTGTTTTTATTTAAGAAGGGTGAACAAGCGTTTTTCTTAATTTTAAATCGATGCTGCCCCCACGGAGAGATACAATGGGACCATAAATAAGTCAATAATAAATAAAACAACTATATATTGAGTGTTTATAGGGCTAATCTCTGCACTAAAGATGAAACATTAACTTTTTTTATTAGCCGTTTAGCTTAGTGGTTACAGAGTCTGAGCGCAATTCCGGAAGACGAGGGTTCCAAGAACCGCGGCGGCAAGAAATTTTTATTTTTAATTTCATAATTTTGTTATTATTTCGAAAATGCATTTTTTCTCCTCCTCCTATTTTCCTCACGATGTTGTCCTTCACCGCCGAGCACGCGATAAGTCAGCACTTAAAATTAACAATTTCACTGGCACCGTAGATTGAACTCAGGTTGCTCGCGTAAATTGAATTGACGGCGAGCACCCGGACACTGAGCTATCACGGCTTAAAGTAAGCAGTATGTATGAAAAACAAATGCGAAATATGAGCTTAGAACATTATTATTTAGATGCCTCTTAGCTTCAGAGCTTTTTGAGGACGGAGCGAGTTGGTTAGCGTGTTTGCGTGTCGTTGACCACGTAGACTGTGTCTGGTATCGACCAAACTGCCAAGCTAGTGTCATCATTTCGGTTCGAGCGCGGCACACACCGTCGTGTCTACGTGAGTTACCACGCGTCTTAGCGAAATTTCGAGATGGAATAAACGAAAAAAAGTATTAACGGGAAACTACAGACGAACGCGATAATCACGCGACTTAGAAGAATGCGCGCGTCGCGTTTTTCGCGCGCAAAAAACCATAAAGAATTGCTAAATTTTCTTATTCAATAAATATTTTATTGGTTAGTTATACAAATCTCTGGTTAAACTCCGACTCTTTTATCTATATTATGTTATTTATACGGTATATTGTGAAAATAAGTTGAAATAATGATTAATAACTGTTAAACAAGTTGTTCTCTGACAACCTAAAAAAAAAAAAAACGAGTCTTAACTTAAGAACCGTTCAGATTTAAAACAACGTGCAGAATTTTTCTCATATCAAATTATTAAATCAATATACATTGACATACTGTGAGTCATAACCCGCCACCTTAATAAGTGTTATTTAGCGCAAGTGAAGGCTAAACTTTTGTGTATCATATCACATTTGTTACCACGGTTACCTTCAAATTAGAACTATCCTTATTTCAATGTTTTTTTAATTTGATGGTACCATCGCAGTTTCCGTTTTGGATGTAATAATACTTTTTTTCATTCTTTAGTTTGACAAATTCAATTACAAAGGACAGTCTTATCGCTGGTGTCATTATAAACTCAGCTGACAACCTCGATACCTCAAGTTAGCGAAATCAGCACACTTTAGAATACGAACAAAAATGTTCGAGACATTCTTAGCGTCCATACCAAAGAATCGTTCGCAAATGGTCAACGAACTGGAGATACCCGAGGGCGTGACAGTTGCCCCGTACATATGGACGGAGCCCGACGAGTCGCTGCTGACCAGCGACAGCCCTGTCACCACCAGCGTCGGGGAGTTCGACGCATGGAGCCGGAGCACAGACTCCAGCCTCGCGTTGTCCCGGGCTATGACCGACTCGGAAATCGATTACGAGCGGTACCGCAGGGTAAGTTGAAACATGGCAGCTGTTTCATTAACATTTGTAATAATGCCTACGACGAAGCTCAGTGGTCGAGAAGTAACTTGAGCCCTTAACCCGCTGATACGAAACTGCGGTTTGCAAGTAACAAATAATTAATTTAGAATTTAGACCGATCATTTAAAAATTCATTTCCGAGCTTGGACTTGTTAAATAAGCTCGCGAAAGATATGTATAGTATTTCCGTTGTTTTCAATATCGCACTAATACTTATAATTTTTTTTTAGATTAAGAGTTTATTAGGTTTACTTTGTTTTATCTTAGAAGGTAGAGATAGGAACACTTTTATGCAATCATAAATTCATCTATTTAGATCGCACATTTCCTTTAGTGTTGTCAACAAGTTATTTTTTTTAATATATTATCCTCTTATATTATTAAATTTGAACGTTCTCGTTAGTAACATTAGGTGATCACTAAAATTTATATTGAACTAGCTGCCCGGACAGACTTCGTTAATTTTTTTATAGTATTAAAACCTTCCGTGGGCCTTAAGGAACATACAAAAAAATAAATTAGCCGAATTGGTCCAGCCATTCTCGAGTTATGCGCTTACCAACATTCATTTTTATTTATTAAGATTGAGTATTGTGTTTGCTTTCCAGTATAAGACTAGGAGCTTCAGTGATCCATGGGTGCAAATGAGAGCTGTCCTGGATTCCCTCCCACCCGAATACTTGGCTTCTGTTAACAGGTAAAATATTTAAGACTTTGCTTTCAACATGCAAATACTTATTCTCATAATACGTGTTAGCTATACTTTGTTTTATCGAGATAAGAAGGTAGAAATATAAATACTTTTACCAAATCGCCGTAGTTTCATTTTGCACAAAAATAACACTGGTATAATTACTTATTTTATCACTTTAATATCATAAATGAAACACCACTCTAACGATTTAATTTATGGTACCGTTGGGCAGCACTATCGGGTATACTTCTGGTTTGACAGCCAAAGAAGACGACGAAGACCATGAAATGCTTCGTGCAGGTTCATTTCTACCTCGTAGAATGAAACTTCTTTTAGTGTTGCCAACAACCTCAAGGGACGACTTATTTTAATGTTTCCAACATACGTATCAATATCATAAGCGATGGTCGTTTTACACCGTAGTGCTTTCGAAATAGAGATACCTTTGCTCGGATTAAAGTTACGCATCTGTAACCCTCGGGTGTAGCAGATGTCCATGGGCGGCGGTATTCACTTAACTTCAGGTGACCCGTCTGCTCGTTTGGCAACTTTTCGCATAAAAAAAAAAAAGAATTAATTAAAGAGCGGGCCGTTTTTACTACTTAGCACTTTATGTACAACTCCTTCTTGCAAATATGCTCAACGGCGAGTTCTTCTTCTGTTTATTACGATATACGTTTCTATCAAATACCTCAGCTGTGAAAATTAGCAGTTAAGTACAGTATCAGTCAACCACTGTAGTTATCTGACAGGTACTTATCATTATATAGAATAATATATTTTTGGATGAAGTTATTCTAACTCAACCATCGTTCTGCATATAAGGAAAAAATAAAATCACATACATCGTTTATGACGACACCCAATCACCAATCGTGACAAAATCTTAGAGCTGCCTTCGTTAAGGCTGGCTAAGAACAGATTTTTTTTTAGGTTTCCGAACCTTAAAACGTAAAAAAGGTACCCTTATACGATCACTCTCCGTCTGTCTGTCCGTGTGTCACCACCGATTTTCTCAGGAACGGGTGGAGCTAGCAAGTTTTTATACCAGATACTGAGGTCTATTGTCCGCATTTGATGTTTAAAAATGAGTCTGAGTCCTGAGTCTACACGATAAAGTAAAAAGTAGTAACTTGTAAGTACCACAATATGTTTAATTTTTTTTTATTATTCGAAATTTCACCTTCACTTCGAAAATTCACCTAAATTGACAACTCTAGGACAACTGGAACCCTATAGGTTGGTCGAAATTTGGCAAAAAGATAGGTAAAGTTCTATAGGCCTATTATAGTATCTGGTTCTAGTTCTATCTGGTATAAGTTACAACTTGCTAGGTCCACCCGTTCCTGAGAAAATCGGTGGTGATTATTTACCAATCTTATTAAGGCGCTATAATGGGTAGTTACGGAAGCCTCGTACGAGTTCGACTCGCACTTGACCGGTTTTTTAATGTGAGAAGATGGCAAGCCAGCCGGCAGTTCACCTGATGTTATGTGTTAACCGCCACCCATGGATACTGCAACACCCGTAGGGTTGCAGATGCGTGGCAGCCATTTTATGACCGAACGACATATTATGCGAACGTTATTATATATTGGTTGTAGACCTAACTGCAGCTTTTTGCTAATTTTTCTCTGAATAAGTCTTGATTTATGGACAACAGGTTTCAATGTGCCGTATTTGATCGTTTGCCCGTGTATCCTCTTTTGTTGTGTTGATGACGTTTTATAATCCAAAAGTTTCAGATCGTCCTCCGAACTGACTAACGAGAGCAGCAATGTTGAGAGACCTCTCTTGCGACCGCAACACGCCGAGGAATTGAGGCTCAAGATGGGGAGGTTTTTCGACGAGGAGTGCCGAGTCTTCACCCCCGAAGACCCCGGACTGTTGGCGCTGGAAGAGGCGTTGCAGCAATTCGACTTGAAGGTCCCGAAAATTCGGCACTTCCTCACTTGCGAATGGTCCAATCTGCCTGGTCTAAGTGCAAAATTTTCACTAAGCGATAAAATCGTAATAGGCTTAGTTTGCCTATTAATTTTTCTTTCATAACATAGTATCAATTCACATTACATTGAGAACCTACTGGAGTCGGTTGAAAAGGTAAAGGATATGCAGAGTTATATGCAAGGAAATCATGCCGAATTTACTCCGATAGTCCAATATTTAACTCTGTTAGGCCTTGTAGGGCCACGCAGCAGCCTCGGCTGTTGCACGAATGGGCAGGCTCGTCCGGGTAAGTACCACGACCTCACAGAAGACCGGCGTAAAGTGGAAGTATAATACTTTCGCGCATTCGTATTTGTATCGTCTGGTGAGTGAGGTAGCCGGAGCCCAATTTTCAAAAGGTGCTCAACGAATTTGGAACCCTCGGGTGTAGCAGATGTCCATGGGCGGCGGTATTCACTTAGCATCAGGTGAACCGCCTGCTCGCTTGGCAACTTTTCACATAAAAAAAACGTCATATCTACAAATAGGTTAGCATTACTCCGCCTCTCACATCTTAAACTCCTTACCGATTGTGAGGTGGAATCCTTCTATCTTTAATACCAAAGTGTTTGCACAGAATCCAGGCGCTCGCTTAAAATTTAATATACTCGAGCAACCCGAGTTCGTTTCCCGGTGCCGGCATCAGGTAAATTGTTAATTTTAAGTGCTGTTTTATCACGTGCTCAGCGGTAAAGGAAAATTGTAGGAAGCCAGTGGAACTATTCTCTATGGTTATCCGTTTAAGTTTATACAAAAACATTTGTTTATTTAACCTTTTCTTCTTCCAGGATTCTGATCTCGACAGCGTCACGCCGTAACAAGACATCGTTTTATTAAATCCATGATGAAAACTTTTAATTTCTATCAGGATCACATCCGTTAATTTGTTTTATTGTTAATTTAATTCTATCCCAGTGTTAACAACCGTTTATGTATATTAAAGCTATTTTTCCATTAAATATTCAATTTTAATTTCCATTGATTATTTTTTACATTAAAGGAAAACATTTAAATGAAACGACAAAACTCGTGTAAAATGTAGTTTTAATGGGAATGATTTCCAACATCACAACAGTTTGTAAATCTAGTGTACTCAGAGCGGTGATCACAATTCGTTTTAAAACAACCGAAATATAACAAATAAAAACAAATTACAAACATTTTTGAAAATATTAAAGTGCCTTTGGAAGCCTTTCACAGTCGTCTCTTGATTTTTTTCGAGTTTATTTAGATACTTAAAAATAATATAATATATTTAGATAACAAAAATATTGCACAAAGTATTTTCTTTTTTGGAATTTACATTGAGATTCTTTTCCTCATTAAATAACATAAATAAACTAATTGGTTTATTGATAATTTAAAACTCTTAACATACCGTCTATAAGATCTATTGGACTTAGGTTATATAATGGCATAAACGAAGCCTTTTATGGAAAAAATATTTATTAAACAGAATATCCCTAAGTAAATAGCATGCTACCAGTACCATGAATTCGTTGGCATATAAATATGATAATGTTCACTGCAAATTAAATATTTATTATTAATAATTATGAAACAACACTTTACAATGTCTATGGTAGTATTGTTACATTTATATTGTTCGCGCTTTTTAATGTTCAACTATTAAAAGTGAAAAAGACATTTGTAATTATAAAAAAAACCACAGCGTACAAAATTTAATTTATAGTGAATACAATCAAGTTTTGTTATTTATGATTGTAGCGAACACATTTTGCATTTTGTACCGTTTATTTAACAAGAAAATGTTAAGCGTCAGTTGTAATCTAGGTTCACATTCGGCCATACTGAAATTTATAACGCTTAATTATTTTATTAGGTGTGATCTAAAGCAGAAAGACACGCAAGCAATTTCAGTTTACTCGAACGATTTTACCCTTATCATATCATAGACAAGATTCAATTTCTGTTTGATGTAATAAGCACATTACATAATTATACAAAAGGTTTTTTGAGATGGTAAAATGGACACGCTGTCAATGTAATTGTCTTTCCACTTAGATCGTTATCCATAGGCTAACTTAGAAATACTTACACGTTAGAAAAATATTGCCAATTAATAATATACCTTGGTAACATATTATGCTTAATAATTAGAGATACGTTGACAAAATAATTATAAACATTCGCTGCCCTAAATCATGGACGTGCTTATAAAAGGCGATCTTTATCTAATATAAATAACTTTAATATAAAGTACAATTATATTTATTCACAGACAGGGATACATACATATATTGCCGATCAGGAATAAAAACAAGTGCACAAAATATAATTATGTAAGCAACATTAACGTAAATTACGAATTAAAGAAAAATATTCTAATATAAAATAATAATCTAATATAAAATCATAGTCAGATAACCAATTTTAAATGTCATTAGATAAAATGTTAATATCATTAACGGATTGGTGGTATTTCAAGAGATTCATTTATTAGAGTTGATTTGTGGTAACTTCAGTTAAAAATGTTATAAATAAGTATAATAGTTGGTAGTAATAACGCGTAATTTTACGATGGATGACCATAAGTCAATTTATAGCAAAAGAGACGGTATAAACTGTCATAAAACGCATATATTTCAACATGATGTATACATTGCTTGATTTAAATAAAAATATGTCTCAATTATATCTTTTAGAAGTTTGCAGTTCCAATTTATTTCCTGACCTTTAAATTCATTAAATATATGACTTACAGGTTTAATAATTTAATCTGCTACTGTATATAGTTTGCAAACAACTTTAAATGGATAAAAAAATTTATCCACACACTGAACTCCTAAGTCGTACGGTTCTGTCTGAAAGAATGTATAAGCTATAAAAACATTGCTGTAACATGCATAAAGCTGTATAAAATATTCATGCTGAATTAGTTTCCCTAGTTTCTAGGCAAGCTCTTCTCACCCTCTCTAATGTGTGTAGCTTTTTAACAGTGTTGCAATAAAATTAAATTGCTAGCATTTTTTTTGCGTTTACGGTTCATTCACAGATTTTAATTTATAAACACAAATCATTGTCTACTCTAAATCGATCAATGTATAAATTTTTTAAACAAGTACCTTTTGGGCCATAAGCAATTGATTAAAAATCATCAACTCTTAACGATGACTGTTAATTTAAATTAAACTTTAAAGAAGTCGGTTTCTTAGATAAGGATCTTATATTTTCGTATAATTTATTAATTTGGGAATGATTTTGTGTTTTGGACAGAAAGTTGGAGAAAATGTCAAAATAAATTAATGATAAACACGGAGATATCCCACTATGTGCAAACATTATGACACTAAATTTATATTTGAGCATGATGGTGCCAAACCTTGTCCAGTCTTTTGTCTGATAATAATAGCAATGAATTCTATTTACAGGCTTTCATTAAAAATAGCCTATCCTTTAGCTAAGAGTTAATGATTTTTTATTTAGTTTTGCATCCGTATTTTATAATTTTTTTAACACTAAATCATTTCAAAAAAGTTTGCTTCAAATGTTGCACCAAATCTAACGCTTTAACAGTCTAACATTTTTTAACATTGTCATTAATTAAAGGGTACTGGAAAATTTGATTTAATTTATTTACTTATAAATTTATCCCCTCCGGTCCAGTTAAAAGGTAGTTTGTCAACTGAGAAATACTTTAACATTGCCAGTTATATTTGCGCACCGACATATTAAAAAGTAAAAAATCACCTACATTACAATTTTTTACAGTTAATTATATTATACAAAAATAAATCAACTTACCATTGACAAATATAATATACGAGTCGTCATGTAGCGCAGAGTACAGTACAGACAACTGATATATTTAAATGTATACTATTCACTAGACATTAAAAAAATGCGAAACACGAAAAGCTATTAAAAATTAATTCTATATTTTTTAGATTAAACAACAGAAAAGCAAATAAAGGTCTGTGTGGTCGGTGACATAAATTATTTGTTAGTTTGTGTTAGATGTGTTAGATTAGCAATCTCGACCGAAACCGCGCAAATTATAAAAAAAGTGGGGAATGATATAAACAAGCACACGGACACACGAGTACACAATGCGACATACACACACACATAATTGACACAGTAGCACTTTAAGATGTGAGACGGACAGTTTACAATAATTGCACATCTTAATTAATAATTTTTCACACGAACAAGCGGTGCGTGCGGCACTATAGTATTATCGCGGCACTTGTGACCTTTTGACGTTGAGAAAAGTTTTCTTTGTCTATGGATTTTTATTATCATTTGAGATATTACCTTTCCCGAATTATGGATCTTAATACAGAAGGTTTAAAATATATGACGTGGGTTTCAGAAAATACTATGTTTTTGTTGTTATTTAAGTATTTACAAATAGATTGTTTACAATTGGGTCACTCGCGTTTTTCACCATAAATTGAATTAATATGAAATAATGGGCCGCTATTTAGATTTTGAGAAAAAAAATATTTCGCAAAATCTAAATGTTGGCGCATAAATATGCGCATAAATGGCGCATTAATAAAATAAGTAAAAATTTACTTCGTGATTCGTTATTGATTATCAATAATAATCACGAAGTAAAAATACGTTGTTACATTTGTCTACCGATTAGAAATATTTTTATGCGAAAAACACGCGTGCCCTTGTTGCAAACAATTACCAGAACTTCATTATTGCTTCATAACGTCATTAGTTCACAAACCCGGAATTTTCACTAAATATAGTTTTAAAGAGGAAACGTGGGCGGTGGTAGTGGTGGTGGAGGGACACACAGTAAGGCAATGAGCAATATACATAGAACATGGAAGGATAAAACTTGCACAATCACTTTTCCCGCTCCAATTTATTTCCAATGAGGTTACATTAAACTTACAAATTTTCTAATCAAAAAACAATATGACATGAAATTTTATGGCTGAATTAAAAAAAAATAAGGATTTATTTATTTAGTTTTAAATTCTTTTAGAGAATAGTTTTGAGTTTTATTTTAGGACAAAATCATTGTGCAAGTGGAAGTAAAGGAAAATGAAAGCCGAGGAAGATTATTATTAATACACCAACTAAATACACGTTTCTTTTAAGGCTCTCGTGATATGCACTTACTTTGTGTATAAAAATAAAGTAATGTATACATTGATAACAACTTTATATTAAACTATTTAACAATTAATCATCTTTTAAACATTTTCATAATACCATCTATGACGGCCTTGTAGATTTAATTTGTAGTGTCTGTTGTTTTTAACAAGAAATTATGCTTGAAATAAATATAGAAATGAAAAATGCTGCCATTAAATATTATGATTTGTTTAAAAGTTAAACTGTGTAGTTTTTTTATTAATTATCTGAAGCCTACCTTAAAATATTTATTAGGACAAAATATCCATGAATTTTTTCCACAAAGTAATAAGAACCTTTTTTTTACACTTAATAATACCACAAATCTTATCTAACCTGCCATCTCTCGCTTCATTGCCTCTGTTGTCGCGCGTATATTTTCAAATAGATAATAAATCGACATTATCTAAATATATGTATGAATATCGATTCACTACCATATTGTCCTGTGATATTTATAATCTATAACGGTTGCTTAAAAGCGGTGATTTGAGGCTGAAAACGACCAGTTCGTCGTCCCTGGACGCCTCGCAGGCTTCAAAGCTTTAGTAGTTGTACTATATCAGTATCAATTGTCACTATAAACTAGTTTCTATGCTATTAACACATTCGCACCAGTCTCCCGACGATCATAGATTATGTTAAAATTAATTATAAATACATGCTTCTGATACACGACAATATCTCCGTTAAAAAAATAAGTGCATAAAAATCACAGTACAAATCACAATCAAACGAAAACGCAAATGGCATACACACACAAATACCAATTTCTTAATCTATTTGAGATCTTCGATATACAAAATATATCGAATTTATTTGGAAAAACACTTGAAACAGGAAACTAACTTGTTTATAGTAGGTAGCTAGAAACTTCAAAGATTATTTTCAATAGCTAAGCAACATTTTTCCAAATTTAACAAAAGATTTCGATTAGGTTGCCAGGAATAAAACAAATGTACAGAGCTAGACTCGATAACAAAGCAAAAAAATAATAAAATCACATGACATTATATTATATTATTATACACATGGCAACCCTTACACTAGTCTATACAAATGCTAAAACACTACAAGTTATCTCTCTCTGGTATAGGTATAAGCTACGTTATACCAAATTATTTTCCCAAAATAAGTGTGATATTATGTCATATTCAAGCTTGCTCTTTAAAAGAGATGCATTTCTAAGCTCGAGAAAGGTTAAAACGGATAAAATAATCATTTGTAAATATCAGTTATTAAAATGGATGCATTGCTAAAACTTCCGTACAAAAAATACTAGTAAATAATTGCTACATTCTGGGAAGCATAATTTGGTTTATTATTGAACAACGCGCGGTCGTAGCATTAGCTTAGAATAAAACCTAAAGAATATTCTATCGCCCCATTTCGTCTGTAAAAATAATTCTTACGTACCTTTTTTTGATATGTCCTGCTTTACCCTTGGGCCAAAGTCGATACGTTCTCCCGTTTCTAATCCTGCGTAATTTTTTATCTGTGCAATTTTAATATGGCGGCAAATTTGCAAGCTGCTCTAACGGACAGTTTAGTATTAAATCGTGTTACATTTCGTTAAACTATGCAATAACATATGGCGAAATGATTTAAAATCTCTCCTATAATCAAACGTGAATTACAACCTTCCTTTTAACATTGAACTGAATTTCTAGTCATTCTGAATTCATAGTCTTCACACTTAGTTCCATCGCATTATGCCGATCGTTTCACATTTAAATATAGGAAAAGTTGATGTCTATTCGGTTCCACTACAACACCGTCTCAGATGTAGAGCTGTACTAACACTATCATGGATCGCGGGCAGTCCCGGTATCGGCCAGATAGAATATTCTCAGGTTTAGTATAGACGAAAATCAGACACGCCTCGGCTTCCCGGGCCCGGGGCACTCCGGCGACTTGATGATGGACGCGGCGCTCTCCCGGGGCCGGGATTCGCTCTCGACGAATCCCGGGTTCAGTATAATGTTAGGCACTAGCTCGATCACGTCCTGCTCTTCGCCGCCGTACTCTACTCACATACGTACCGTCACCGTGTGTGTGTGTGTTTGTTTTTTTTAGTGTGCGGCCCCGCAGTCCAAGCGTGCGTTCCAAGCGAGTGCGATAGTAGGGAGAGAAGAGAAAAAAATTCCGAATGAATAAAAAATTTGGCGGCAAACACAATAGTATCGCCCCGGGAAAGAGAGCATGCGTTAGATACAAGTCTAGAAAGCTCGCCCCTAACTGAAATTAATTATTTTTCGTTAATCAATATTTTATGAATGTTAATTATAGATTATTGTTATGATCGTTAAAATTTTAAACAACAATGTAATGTGAACATTAGGAGCGAGTGCTTGGTAAGATTGAAATTGACAGCGTCTTTGGCATCTTTATCGGAAAATACAGCATGCCAAATAAAAAAAATCTTAACCTAAAAATGTATCGGTGAAATGAAATATAAGGGAATAGGTGCCATTCAGAAGATTTTTATAAATGGTAAAAAGTATATTTTTTTATATTATCATAAATAGATTTTAATTACCAGTTTTTAATTGTTATTTTGTAATAAAGTAGATTAACTCTTTAAAGAACTTATATCACATTATTTTCGCAGATCAATAATATAAGATGTTGTTATCTTAGAAAAACTACTATGTTTTATTATTCTTCTCTTCCTGCGTAAAGCATAATAATCATTTTGTGATTAAGGTTTGTTAATGATAAATAAAAAAACTTATGTCATTTATTAAACAAACTGAAAGGAAAAAAATACTAACGACTATTATACCGCCTCTTTTGTTTATTCTGTTACTAACTGTATATTATATCAACTCGGAAAGAATAAAAAGAAGCAAATATTTTTTAACTGAGTACCTTATTTTCTTCGATAAAGCGAAAACGTGTGTGAAAATGGAAATTATTCGTGACAAATATTGCGTAGCCCTTAGCGGCTAACATTGCACTTAAGATTTAATAAAAGAAATCTATTTCTAATAGTTTATATTACGTAATTCAGCTATTATAAAGTGGTCCAAGAGATACAGTAGTCCTAGAGTCATAACATTAGGTGCGTCGTCAATAGTGTTACCCTAGAGTACGATTTGAAAAATATTGTAAAAGTGCTTTATTAAATACTGTTATATAGAGGTAGGAACTGACAAATACTAAAATTGTCGACATAGCAAATTCTTGGCATTATAGTACGACTTCTGCTAAAAACCTGAAAAATGGTTACTCTCTAGTTTTTTAAAACGTAAAAATTATTGCTTGTTATCGGTTTTAGCAGAGGTGATAAATTGCATATTTTTTAAATTTTAATATAGATTTGGTATTGTCGTAGTCTTGCTTACGTTATTGTCCACCAAGACATTGTTAAAATAAATACGCTATACATAGCATACATATACATGTTCAGATTTTGAATTGTCCATATCATTGGATAATATACATTTCTAATTTATTCTTAGTAATTGACCACAAGAAGGAAATGTCTTTTGATGTGAGAGATAAATTTAAACATGAATTATATGGATCTTGAAAAATAACAAACCTCACAAACGAAGATGGCAAGAACATATCGTATACTAAAAAAGCTTCGAAGCTTTTACGACAACTAATTAGTACCTACATATGATTTGGAATATCACCTCTAAAGCCGTTGAATTTATACCTAAGTCATGCTATTTTTATAAGTAAAGATTATAAAACAAGCGTATGAGCAATGTAATATTAATTACGTCATTGAAATAAACATATTTTTTTTAATCCTATGCTACATTATGCTTTTATCGTAAAATCCGTAAAGAAGTTTTATGTTAATGTGTAAATAAGAGAAATTCGTGTAATCTTTCAATTTGCACTTTCAATTAATTATATAATATTTTAAATATTTTCCAAGGCACAATGATAGTACAAAAATATTGCACATTATCATTGTACCATAGAGAACGTTCTTTTCTCTTTTTTCTTTTTTGTTTTACCGTTTTACCAATTTAGTAATTCATTTTCTAATGATTAATTTCAGTAAAGATTTTTAATATCACAAAAATACATAGAGTCTTGGTCAATTATCTTTTTATTCCCTTCGAAAATAAACTGTTTAATTTTTTATCAAGAGGTAATACAAATCTAGATTAATACAATGAACTCGTAGTTACTTATGTAATATACAATGCCAGTCTAAAAGCTATGCTGCCATAAACAATTTTATAATTATAATTGACGTATAATATTTCTACTTGGTCCGAACAAATTTAACTCCCAAATACTACCAGTCAATGATATTTTACACTGCAGATATGTTGTTAACGCATCCAATGTGAAGCCACGAAAACGTCCCAATTGGGACGTCTCGTCGTTTAGTTCACGTTAGACTGGGCGACGAGTAAGACGCGGTGTCAAAAATTTTACAATAACAAAAATGCCAATGTGTCTTTAAAAGATATATTAAGTATGACTCTACAGTTAACAAATAAAAGGGATCTCATATTATGTACATAATGCAATACATCTTCGATTTATTACTATACTTCAATTGTTTTCCTAATGTTTTAATTTATGCAGGTTAGAGAACTTAAAAATTTAAGACGGGAACTAGAACATTTTTTACACGTACTATAAAGTGACAACTACTTGTCGTACTCTTTTTTCTTATGCCTTTAATTACCTACGCTATCCTTTTTATACCATTCGATATCTATGAGAAAGTTAATAAATGTGTGGATTTGTACTGTCTGTCAATGTTTTGAATTTGGAATACTCGACCGGTCGTTTTTAAGCATATAACATATCTATAGTATAAAATATCTGTTACTAGCGGAACGATAGCTAAGCAAAAGGATGCGCTAATATTAATTTTTTTTTAATTTTTTTTTTTGTTTTAATAATTTGGAATTTACTATGATAAAAAGGGAGATTTTAGAGACGTGAGCTCAGAAAGGTATTATTTCTATAATTTTATAACAGACTCCTATCTCTAATATGAATTTCAATGAATAGAATCTAGTTATAATAAATAAGAGTTTTATATAATTTGATAGTTTATACATAAATTTCATTTCATACATATTTTAAAGTTAAGTGGGTTTTTGGTACGTGCTTTTAATTTAATAATATTATCACATCTACAGTAAATTACTTAGCACCTTTTTTAAAAACGTTAAAGCGGCTCAAAATTGTTAGTGTTTAATTTTTTTTTATAAATACTCTAATATTTCTAAATATTTTGCAAAGTACTTGATGAAAAAAATGCTTGGCACTGTAGTTAAATTGTTCCTCCTTTAACAAGGAAGAATATTTTGTTCAATTTTGCATTGCATAATTATAAGTGTAAAAAGATTTAAATACGAAGTGTTAATAGTTTTTTATTTTTTGCTTTAAGAAAGATGGAATTACTACTGTAGAGTTCGTAATTGCTCCGTAATTTTTGAGCGGTTAATAGTTGGGAATATTATGTACAATTTGTAAGATATCTTTCAAAAGGTAATAAATAGATGTAAGACTCCAAAGATATAAAGATATTTGTTTTAAATGATTTTGTTTTACTATTTTAATGTATTTGGCATGAATAATAAAGATTTCAGTTAAGTGATGTTAAGTGATGCTTTAGATAGTGTTTCAACTATTACTCTCAAATATGGTGGAATTAAAACTATTTAGGCAGTAACACTTACGAGAAATTCCAAATGTGCTTTGTACACACAATACTTCATAAACTCCGGTTGAATTCTATATTTTTTATCAGATTTCAATCGTTTCTCTTAACAATTAGTATGTAAGTTTAAAACCTTTAGAGATTTACTGAGATTCAGGCTTAGTTATGAACATTCTTTAAACAGCAAGACTGTTCCACTTATGAAGCCCAAGTTATATTGTACGCGTTTATTAAATACATAATAATGAACAATTTATGATAAATTGAGTGTAATCTAAAATTTCTTAATGTATCATTTGACATGAGATTTTTATATTTGGGTATAACCTAGCAAATATTCCGTAGAACCCAACGGATATTCTAACTTACTAACCTAATTGTATTGGTGCGTTAGTTTTCTAAAATACCAGTCGAAAGAATTATTGCGTTTAGATAGATTTAAAACGTTATTATTTTAAGCTTATAACCTAGATAGTTACCATAAGATGAGGTGTAATTTATACATGTAAACCTTTGTTATATTCTTAAAAAACAACGAAGGTTTATATTTTTATATGACAGTTAATAATAATTATAAAACTTTGTTATAATCTTAAAAACTTTCCAAAGCAAATACCTTCTTATTGAAACGATGTCAATGTCATTTTAAGAAATTTTTCATTTTCAGAAAATTGAGGTTTTACTTTTTCTATGTTTTGACTTACTTTTATTCTATGTTTTGAAATTTTTTTGAAGGTTTTTAATCTAATTGTTTATACTATATTGTATTTAGGCGTTTTGCTGTGGCCTATATACGCGACAGTGGTGCATCTAACAGCTTACATAATAATCAGATTAGAAAAACTTCCATTATGATTTAAATAGTTCTTCATGTTCCCAAGTGAATGGAACAGTTTCTAGCTAAGGTTTCAAAGTATAGAGAGCGTTTCATTACGTGCAGTGTTAATAAAATTGGGCAAGCTTCGATTTTTTATTAATTGTCATGATGCAATTTTTATATCGATTTGGCAATATATGAACGAACTAAATGCTTACAGCTTATTGTAAGTAAATTCGAAATCAGAATACTCTTATTACTTTTAAAGTGAGCATAGAAAATTATTTGTTCACCTAATGACCGACCAACGCATCGGTTCCTACGTGCGGGCGGCACACGAACATTCGATCATACACAGTTGAACATAAACTATGAACGAACGTGCGTTCGACCGGTGCGTGAATCGAACGATCGATCAAACTACAATCACTGATCGAGCGTTCGATCGAATGGTGCAACTACTCCAAACTTTTTCTATCCTTTGGTCGAATCGCATCTTTAGTTACAATTATTACGACCACCGTCCGTCCGAGCGCTGGAAGGTCCACAGTTCGTTCGATTTTTGTTTATACGAATATACTGTTACAGATGTCGAAAAAGTAACTAAGTTTCGTCCAACCATCCTTTTTTTCTATGTAAACCGCATTACTGGAACCATCCGGTCAAGCATTCAATTAACCACGGGCCAGAGAGACAGCATTGGCCAGGGCTGTTTGAGGATTCTGATCGTCTTTTAGTCGCTTGGCGGTCGACGGGGACGGGTGAGCGTTAAAACGTCCACCGTTCGTTCAGAAAGTGTTCAATTATCCATTCATGTTCAATCAATTGACTTGCGGTCGGAGCCGGTAGAGGGTTAAAACGTCTACCGCTCGGTCAAAAAGTGTTCGATTGTGCGTTAGCTTCTAGCGTTCGATCAGAAAGGGTTCACCTCTGCCGGCCGATGAAGAGATGTACGGGTAGATCAATGCAGAGGCATCTGCCGGTTGATCTGATACAGTTCGACCGGGCGTTGAACCGTCCAGCGCTCGATCAGACGGTGGCAAGACGGTGGGTGCTGGGCTGGGCTGGCTAGTCTAGGGCGTGGGCTCACCGGATCGCCTCCACTCGCGGCAGAGAACGGCGCAGGTGCCGGCCGCGAGCACCGCTAGCGTCCCCATCACCACGCACACGGCCGCCAGCCAGGTGCGAGTGTCGAACGTTTCCGCGCCCTCCAGGAAGTGCTTGTACAGCTCTGCAATTTGTGGACGCTCTAAAGAAGACGGTGTCGACGCACGAGGAAAACTTGGCTCGATCGTGTTGTCAATCAATCAACAAACAGAACTATTGGACAAGTGGTGCTCTTAATAAATGGGTGGGAATACGCGATTTGGCTGCTTAAGTATATAGGCTGCGACAAGTCAACAATTGAACAATTGGACATGTAGCCTTCTTATTAAAGGGGTGGTGAGGCAACATGCGATTTGGCATTGATTTGACTGCGACAAAAACTTTGGAGTGTACGGTTTCATGAAGAGAAGTCAAAAATATCCTTAATGAGAGACAGGTCGCAGGTGGTGAACGGATTCGTTTTCGGACGTATTCGAAAAGTTTCCACTAACGATAACCCATGAAAGAAAAGGGTGCCCTCTGCCTAGTAGCGATTGCATGCTACAGGCACAGTTCAGTCCAAACTTAGTCATTGACAGACGAACGGCGCCGAAGTTCGAAGTTAGTGGTACTTCTTATACCTCGAATTAGGATGAAGAAGATAATTCGACACGATCGAATTCAGGATTTATGGCTTCTTGTCGGAAATGAACCAATACCTTTTGCGTCTACACCGCGAGGGGATGAAGTTCAAGAAGTGTCCAAAGTGTCTGGAAGGTAGTAAGAGTTTCGCACTGACCTGCCTCCTGGTCGCTGTAGAGCGTGGTGGCGAGCACCTCCACCGGTGGGCCGGGCCCGAGTACGTTGTTGGCCCACACGCGGAACCAATAAGAGGCGTTCGGCTCCAAATGGTACACGTCGATCTGGCGCTGCGGACCGTACCAGTGTTTCCATTTCAATATTGAAGAAGCGATTTGCGGACCGTACCAGTGTTTCCGTTAAATTTTATTGAAGAAGCGATTTGGTTTATGTAGAATTTAGGTTTAATTTTAATTTCTCAGCACCTTGATATAAATTTGTTTGGATACTGCGGAACTGTGAAAAGGTAGCAAACGAGCTGGCTGATGTTCAAAATAAAAAATCAACATCAAAAATATATTTATTAACATAGACGCTTGCGCGTTCTTACGAAACGTAAAAATTTTACATAAAAATTAATACGTTCGTAAGTTACCACCGGTTCGGAAAGCAGTTTCTGTTAAGAAGAAACCGGCAAGAAACTCAACAGTTGCTGTTAAGTAATAACCGCCGCCTATTGACATTCGCAACACCGATAGGGTTGCAGATGCGTTGCTACCTTTTAATTAAGAGCCCCGGCTACCTCACTCACCAGACGAAACGCGGAAGTATCCATAATACTTCCACTTCACGCCAGTCTTCTGTGAGTGGTCGTGGTACTTCCCCTGACGGACCTGCCCATTCGTGCAACAGGGAGGACTGTTGCATGGTCCTACCAAAGTCATTGCATTTGCAATCCTGGGTGTTGAAAATCTCCATGTGCGGCGGTTTTTAAAAAAGGTTATTATAATATAAATGAATACATTAACGATAATAACCCCTGCGAATGAGATGATCGCTCCTAAGCTGTTTCTAAAAAAAAAATATACACTGTATAACTATGTATTTGTTGAATAAAAAAATGACAAAAAAGAGGACACCTACGGAGTTTCTTTCGCCTGTTTCTTCTCCGTTAGAGGAACCTCACTACGAAATTTAAAAAATGACGATCGATAAATGAAATGTATATTTCTTATTTCGATGAATAAATGATTTGAATTTTTGAATTTGAATTTTGAATCAAATTTACCATCTGCTAGCATAAAAGGAAAACTTTCACCCTCGCCGTGGCCTCACCGAGTTGGGGCTGATGTGGTTGGGGCTGATGGGCCGCCACGGCTCCAGCGTGCCGTTGACCGGCGTTGCGGCGCGGTACTGGGCGGTGAAGTCGACGATCGGGTGGCCCCCGTCGCCCGCCACGTTCCACAGAATCAGGGCCAGGATGGTGGACGCGTGGACCGTCACGTTTACCAAAGGGGGCGGTTCCGCTGCAGGGGCGGGGCGGAGGGGGTTTAGGTTAAAGGCCCGTTTACTTAATAATTTATGTACACAGTTTATATACAAAGAAATGTAGTTACAGGAAAATATTTGTACAAAAGCCCTGCTTACTTCTTAAGAATTATCTTACAGCGGACCCGTGACTGGAAATTGGTCACAAATGGCAGTTACAAATAATAATTATAATAAACGTTATATGCAACAATTATAAATTCCACTTCAATTAAGGTAGTGGGTACGCGTAAGAACGGAATTATTAAAAAGAATTTTTATAATCTTGGTACAGCACCAGCCGTCTGCTTTTCACCATGACATGGGTTGAGAATGCCATTAGGCATTAAGTCCCCTCATTGTAGCTGTTAGCTTAAGGTGTAGCAATAAAGTCTAAATAAAGAAGCAAACAGATGAAATAATTGTGGATGTTTTCTATAAGGCGGATAGAATGAAAGCAAATAAACGCGCAACCTTCCATTCGCACCCGCTAGTAAATTAATTTATAGCATTTACTAATCCTCTACCTCTAGTCAATTAATTTATACTGACTAACGAATTTAGACCTAAACGCAAGTAAAAAATAATTATTTAATCACTGTAAACGAAATCGGTCGAGGTAGAGGTTATATAATATTATGTTAAAAGTATTTTTTTCATTACTGTACAGTTTTAGTCACGTGTGTACTTTTTTAAGATTCAAGAAGAACTTTGGTTAACGATTTATTTTAGTAAGACAGTCATTCTTGATCTAGCATCGATCGGTATCCGACTTAGGTTAAAGGTTAGCTATAATTTCATTTATAAGTTTAAATTGTAAGTTCTAATAAATAATTTAAAGCAAATTGGTTTCTTTGAGCGACAGCGACTTCTATAATTAACTTAAACATACCGCAAATTTATTGTGAAATAATATGTTCCTAACATCAAATTATATTTTTATTGTTTCTCTGACAGAAGATCTATCTTTTCTCTTTCAGAAGGTAGAAGATTCTACTATTGTGTTGAGCGGAGTAAAGTAGAAGCATGCATAATCATGCGCTGTATCTGGTGAGCCTGACGTTTGCTTGCTACCTTTTTAGAAAGAGTTTTTTAAAAGCCACGCTGGTTTTTAAAGGGTTTTTCGATTTATTTTGCCGTGTTGCTCCGTTAGGTTAGTTTGAAAAGCAATTAAAATTTGTCAAGTTGGCTTGATTGCTTAGCAGTGAATATTTGTACGGCAAAAATCCCCCCTCACGACACGGCGGCTTAATTAAATAGAGAGCGTTTCGGCGCCAGACTATGTAAATATCGTACCCTGTCCGTGTACACAGTTGGGTATACGCAGTCGGTACATATTTAGGGTGACTAGATGTCCGATATTAAATACGGCCGTCCGAATATTTTGGCAAATTCTTTGTCAGTCTAACGTGTCCTTCTAGACAGCGCAAATTAGCTCTTCCTTATCGTATGAGTGTAGAACGACCCACTATTTTATTCCTAATTAGACCTCGATGTCGTTACCGACACACTAAACAGTATATTGCCAAATAATTGGCAATATACTATTTATAACATGTCAAATGATATTAACTCTAATAGCAAAGGTGATATGCCTAGTTTTCAAATATTTCATTATAAAACGAAATTTGCAAAAGTGGTCGTTTGCTGTAAAGGAAACACTAGATGGCGCCAAGCATTACTTAAAATTCAATAAAAATAGAGCAAATAGACATGCCGTTTAGCTAAGTGTGCCTGGAGCGTAAGGCGCGTATCAAAAGTTGGTTTGCAGCTTCAAATCTTCGCACTGGCGAAAAGCTTTTAGCACATTTTTCAATTTGTAATTAAAAAATTCTTATTTGTTGAAAATTTTATTCCCTTGTTAAGGGCAACAACTTCTGTTACCGCACGAATGCATCCAGCCAGAAGAAGTCACACAGTAGCAGTGTTAGACTGCTAGACACCATTAGCTCCTTTTGCGCAGATCGGAATAAAATAAATAATGAATAGTTGACAGTGGCGCGAGTTAACTCTGATATTTTAGGTGTAAAAAGCAATCAAAATAAAATGCGATAAAATCCGTAAACAGAGCGTCTTACGCGACTACGAGGAAAGGAAGAGCCCATCTCGAACCCCAAAGTTAACCGCCTTTGACTAAATTCAACTTAGCATTTAGTCTTCTTACTAATGTGCTTGCTTGTTCGAACTCGCTGCTTTTTGCGACTACGAGTCTGATTTGAAAAAATCTTATCGCATTTGATAGCCCTATTCTTGAGGAAGGTTATGGCGTAATAAACATCACGCAGCGCCCTACGAGGGCGAAGCAGATACATTTCTCGCGAATGAAATCGTAAGGAACAGCTGATCTGTGATATTTTTAAAAATATTAACCACTGTCCCAATACTAAGCGTCCCCATACGCATCGAATTGTTTTCGCTCAAAGAATTCCTGTTGATTCGCACAATTGGCGTTTCAAAATTAAAGAAGCAAATCGGTAGGCACTCGTCGTTTCGACGGAGCAAAATTTACGTGCTAATAAAGTCTCATAACGGGCAATAGGTTCTCGCCCATTGTTTCAGAGCATTGGATCGTCTAAAAACGGGCTTTTCAAAATAGCGGTAAATAAGCAAGTCGTTCAAATTATTTTATTAACAACAATTGACTTTGTTAACACCAAAGAGGTAGGTTTTTTGCCGGTCTTCTCAAACACTAGCCACCTCAATCAAAAATAATGTATGTAAAACAAAGTATAAATTTTCTAGAAATTTCGGATGATCAGTTTTAAGTCTTTCTTATTGTAAGTTATCTGAAATGAAAATGTGAAATTATGGCTGTCGATTAACATGGTTTATCCGTTACTTTTAGGATTAGTCACTCGCTCTAGTTAGACGTAACAGTAAATGTGAACACTTTGTCAAAAATTCACTATCTATCACTTTAGTCAGGTTTTTATATTTTGAACACTTGAACAACGGCGGTGGAACCTTTAAATTTAACGCAACACGTAAGTTTTAACTCAAGAAGGTATACGTATGATGAAATTCATCATCATCATCATCATTTCAACCTGTTAAAATCCACTGCTGAACATAGGCTTCCGCCACAGACTGCCACGATCCTGAGCCTCCTGCATCCATCGACATAATGATGAAGTTATTGTTAAGTAAAGTCATTGAAAGTTTAAACAAATTGTGTTCAATACATTAATATCGTATTACTGTGCCCACTCGTATTCATTAAATATATTAGCTATTCGATAAAATGGTCGTTACAAAGAGGGCTTTTAGATGATTAAGTAGTTAATATCTGAGTGGTCTCGATACTACAGAGTTTATATGCTTCATGTCGATAGTATTTTGGTATACACACGAACAGGTTATAAAAGAAAAAGGCAATATAAGCCTGCGATATGAAAGCTGTTTGGATTTAATATCTGGGAAATAACCAAACAATAGACGGGTTGTAAATTACCTTTAATAAGTACTACGGTATAGCTTCTATGTTCTATGTTTCATCAAGAGAAATCCCACGACCTCACAGAAAATCAACGTAAACAAGAACTATACATACAAATAATAAAAACAAAATAAATATATTAGGACATAAACTATGAAATGTGTGTACTATGGGTAAGTACTGATAAACATAAAAGTAACAGCCTATGAATGTCCCACTGCTAGGCAAAGGCATCCTCTGTAAAGAGGGTGTCAGGACATAGTCCACCATGTGGCCCCACTGCGGATTGGCGGACTTCACATATCTTCGGAAAATTTCTTGCACAGAGCACGTGATAAGTTAGCACTTAAAACTTCATTGATGCCGGCACCGGGAATCGAACTCAGGTTGCTCGAGTAATTTGAATTAAAGGCGAGCGCCCGGACACTAAGCTATCACGGCTCTCATCACTGATAAACATACTTTTCTTCAATGAATAATTACGCACCTTTAGAATTATAGTGACCTATTTAAAAATATCAATTTTTGGGAAACGTAAAATAAGGATTTGTGAAACTTATGAACAAACGCGGTAATTGGGGGGAGGTGAAAGAGACAGAAGTATACGTTATGTAGCTTTCTAAAATCGGCCCATGTTTTAATAGGATTCGAAAAAGATGTTCATTTCAGGTCGTTTCCTGACATAAAGCCAAAGTCATGATTTTCATAATTAGGTCCCTTTAATTCTAAAGGTGCGGTTGAGATGTCGGTCCGTCCGGGAAGTACCACGTACTCACAGAAAACCAGCGTGAAGTGGAATTTTTACACGTCTGCGTTTTGTCTGGTGAGTGAGGTAACCGGGGCCAACTTTATTAAAAAGTGACAAAGCATCTGCAAACGTCCATGGGCGGCATTTATAACTTAATGTCTGATGAATCGCCAACTCGTTTGCCACCTTCTCACACGAAAGGAAACGCAGTAATCCCACTGATATTGTACCACCGTTCTTAAAAAGCTCTCATTAAAAAAAAGTTGGATAAGTCACCTCAATGAAAAAAATTGCTTGATACTTAACAAAATAAATGCTTTCAATTTAACAGTTAACTAGTCGAATATATGCTTCACTTAACCAAACCAAACGTACACGAGACGTTTTCATACTATGAGGGGATTAAAAAGTATTGTCAATTATCAATAGATACGAAAGAAAACGTAAAAAAAACTGAAATAGTTTTATTTATCTCTATAGTCCCCTGCAATCTCAATACGCTTTAACTTCGGGAAAACATCTTTTCAACACCATCCACAAAATAAATTTCATCGTTCTTTGAAAAATGATCGTTAATGGCCGCTTCGAGTTCTTCATCGGAAAATCCCATTCCATGGAGCTCTTGTTTCAGCTTCGGGAACCAAAACAGTCGATAGGCGCTAGGTCCTGTCCTGTAGGATACAAATTTATTTCCAATCGAGCATCAAAACGGGTACTCAAACCTGTTTTTCGATGTTTTTCACGTTTTCTTCTGTGGTGGCAGAAACCGGACCATTGTCATCGTAGATGTTTTCTCTGGATCTTTAAAATTCACTCGACCACTTTTGGCAGACTATGAAAAATCGGAATCCTCGTAAACGGGCAACAACGTGGATGCTTTTTTTAAAGGTTTTTCCTTATTTCGTTGGCAATTTATTAACAACGCTGTGCTCGATTTTAGTTTTTAATTTTAAGTTACACTATACATACAATTGGGAAAAAACGAAGAAGATTTTGTACCTTGGATAATTGCAAACGTGAACCATAGACAAAAACTGCCCTCGGTACAAACAAAAAAGTTTAAAAGGTTAAACGAGCCATTACGAGCTTCTCATGTTAAAATGGAACAAACAAAAACAAAGTCATTACAAAGTGGAAAAAATGTTTACATTACTACGCGCCATGGTTTTGCCCAACTGTGGGACGCCCAGAAAACCTTAATTACATCGTACTGTGTTAGATAACAAGCACTGTACGTATGTATGGCTCATCATTAAAATGGAACTGCACATCCCGACCGGGCCACGATGATCCCCGTGCAGTGATTCAACAATAGTGAAGTTGTCACTTTGAAAGGCGGACAGACAGGTCTACGGATGCGGGGCGATAGATAATAGGCGTCATTATGCGGCCTCCACAATCGTCTTCGCCCATGCTCGACGGATGCTGGTGCGGCCTTGGGGACAACAGCTCTTTGATAATGTATTACAGTGCAATAGGAAATTGCTCAGAGATTCAGTTAAACGTGGAATACGCAGCGATGTGTTTCACCCGTTAGGGATAACAACGTGATTGCGAAAATTGGTTTTTTTAATGTTTAATCTGTCTGTTGTATTACATATTTTTTACTATTGAGTTTGCAGTTTGTTTACGCGATTGTTGAGCATTGTTAAAAATGGTATACGGATTTGTTTTGATTTTAATTCCCAGCTTTTGGAATACTTTAAACACTTAAACACTTACGGAATGTTTTTTTAATTTTTTTCTATAGTACAAGCATATCATATTAGGATACACTTACGAACCGTAATTTATTACGTAATAAGCGTTTTCGTCCGCATCTCGTGTCGCAGTTGAACGGCGGTTGTAAATAACCGCGACTGTTAACGGTCATTTAGATAATGGCTCGGGAATGGTCATTTTTAATGTAATCGCACTGTTACGATTGTGTCGTTATCATAATCGAAATTACAAACGGATCTTATACGTCGCGAAGGTAATGAACACATTTTTCACTAGCAACAGTAGCTGCCTGCGTTATGAAATTATCGCATGGCACTGCTGAAGATCCGTCCAGTGCTACCAACAGAGGCACACCCTGCTGTAGACGTTAACCTCTAAATACCGAGTAGACCGGACGAAAAACTATTTTTCCCTCCTCAAGCCACACTCCGAACACTAAGTAATATGGAATAAATAAAAAGCCAGTGTTTTACAAACGAAAGCTTGACAAACACCCAATAGTTTCTGTTCAGTAATGTCATTTAAAAAGATAACCAAACATGTGGAGTAGTGGAAAAAAGTATCTAATACTTAATATCAACGTGTATGTATAAACAATTATTTGTAATTGTTCGTTTCGCTTTATTTATATTCGAGACCGAAATAAGAAAACGATGACGCAGATACCTAACAGAGAATATCGTCTAATGTAGCGACCGTGTATAAATTACAGGATTACTAACTTCTGACTGTGAGATTGACTCTGTCGACGTACGCAGTCTCGTTCTCCACTCCGCACTCGTACAGGCCCTGGTCTTCCACTCCCACTTGTTTCAGGAGCAGACTTCCGTCCATCTGAAACGAACAGAGAACTAATTAATAATACATTTAAGTTTCTCATACACCAGCTTAGCGAATGGAGGCGCCGTCGTGACTTCGATTCCGTAGCGGCAAATATATCGATGACTGCATCGGCATATCATCTCGTCGAATTTCCCTCAATGAAGTGTGAAGACCTAAGGAATTGTGACTTGATCCTTGACTGTTGGTCGTATGAGGAAGCTCAAAGTCGCCAGGCTGTGGTGCAGGCTATTCTCGGTATTTCTCTGCATGATAGCGTTTGTAATGAAGACATCTTCTAATTTTCTGAGACATTGCTTAGAGGATTAGCATACTGATGGGGCCGGCTATATAGATTGAAAAACCGATAACCGTTGCGAAAAAAAGTTTCTCGAAAAATTCTTACTGTAGTGTAATTTCTAATACGCTTTTGTTATTATAGGTTGCAGTATTGCATGCACAACTTGTAGCGTTATTAGAATATATGATAGCAGATTGTTAACAGGTCGGCAATGGTATTATTATGTATTTGCAGAGAGTATTAAGTCGTAAGCCGTAAGGCGATATTCTAAAGGAAATATAATAGACACCTATCCGCAATATCCACAACTTGTGGTACCTCGATGGCGTTCTGAGTTTCAACTTTAAAAATCTCATAGCCAGTACGACCCTTTTTTATTGAATTGAGAATAATTTTATTTTTTTATCAGATGCAGATCCAGAATATACATCCAAATAGGATGAAGTGCAGATCAGTTCCTAACAGACACCTACATGACTTACGTATTGTGTAACAATTGTGTACTAGTCTTCTAGGAACAAATTATCACTGAGTAAAGAACAATCTTGGGGAGCTGTACTGCTTTGTGCAGATAGAAGTTAATCAAATTTTCTACGAAACAAAAACGATCCCAGCTAACAATACTTCGGTGTTTTTGACATGGGCGCAATTAGTTCGGATGCGACGGCTTCATTGCAAACTTTAGCAGTTGCCGAACTTAGTGGAGATAGTTTGTCAATTTTTAGACGAACTGCTCGAGTTTAAAAATGAGCTGCAAAAGTATTTATAATTCGCGTAGTAGTAAATATACATCTATTCCATCAATTAAAAAGGCTTCACTAAAATTCATACGCGAAATAACGTGATTTTTGAAAGAAATATTGCACTCGGGGCATCACGAGTTGCTAATAGGTCCGTATCACAGGGTTAATGGGTCCGTATAAACTGTGCACGAAGTTGCTTATAGCTCGAGATTAATGTGGAGGGGAAATATAGAGACTCGTTCATGTAAAGGACACCGTTCAAAGTTGGCAACACATGTTCAAAGATGTCACTTAGAGTTTTTTGCTTATTGAGTTTTTTTCATTTCACCTGGAAATGTCAATTAACTGGGGAGCCTGTTAAAAATATTCACTTATGATATCTTTCAAGGTTAGTTTATCAGTAAACTAAACGATGAGTGTAAGTATACTTATGTTATGTATTTGATAAGGACATCTTTGGCTCGTTACAAATGACACAAATGAAAACGGATACGATTAAACAGAGAAGTTGATGTCGAATCAGTGACAGTCAAATGATTAAAATTTTGTAGAAAAAACTTTTGCTATAAATTTTAATGTTTAATCTTAAGTGCAGACATTAGCACTATACACATTTAAATTTCAGTTTAATGATGTTAAAAATTCACTGTAGTATCGGCATAGAAATGAGAAAATTGTTAAATACAACTATTTTAGGAATGTTATCTGGTTCTTTTTTCACTTGTAACATCCATCTGACGTTTCGAAATGCAGCATTCATGACCCCGGAATGCGTCGAGTCAAACCCTTTAACTACTTATTTTTATTAAAAAAACCTAAGGATTCTTATGCGTTTTCATTAAACAAGGCCATAATGTTTACGCTATTCACGTGAAGTTTCGTGGGCCGGCCATTTAGCTTGAAGAATCAATAACAGATGGGGAAGAAAGGTTTCGAATGGTCCTCGTATTGTCCATTGTAGTGTGGGACGAGCCATCACTAGATGCCCAATACGAGGCTCGCAGTGACGACCTGTGCAAGTGTGCGGGAAGTCGATATAAAAAAAAAAAAAAAAAAAAAAATATCTTTATTCACATAGACGCTTGCGCGTTCTTATGAAACGTCAAAATTTTACAAGAAATGAACACGTTCGTAAGTTACCACCGGTTCGGAAAGCAGTTTCTGTTGAGAAGAAACCGGCAAGAAACTCAACAGTTGCTCTTTTTAAAAAAAAAATCAGTTTACAATATAATAGTACATGTACAATAGTCTTGTTTTAGCAGATGCAGGTGGCTCAGGATCGTGCTTCGTAGCGGTCTGTGGGGGAGTGATTGTGGTAGGGCCACGCAACAGTTTTCACTGTTGCACGAATGAGCAGGTCCGTCCGGGTAATTACCACGACCTCACAGAAGACCGGTATAAAATAGAAGTGTAGCACTTCTGCGTTTCGTCTGGTGAGTGAGGGAGTGAGTTAGCTTGGGCCCACTTTATCTAAAGGTGGCAACGCATTTGCAACCCTGCGAGTGTTGTAAATGTCCATGGGCGGCGGTTATTACTTAACATCAGGTTCCGCCAGCTCGTTTGCCACTTTTTCAAATAAAAAAAACCGGCTTATGTTCAGCACTGGACTCAAACAGGCTGAAGTGATGATAATGATCATTATCAAATGATGAAGTTGAAGAAATTCCTATTCTTCTTTCTCCCGCCCTTACCCACCACACTTGGTACAACACGTGAATCATTTTTAATGATATTGGCTAGATTTGACTAAGACCGGCCGCCTACCTGACGGTAACCCTCCTCGGTAACTAACACCCTGATCCGGAGTCTGTGAGTCAAACACGCGTCCCAAGTGGGAATCGAATCTACGACCACCGGCGTGAAAGCCAATAAATCGCTTAGCAACTGCGCCACCGAATAATTATAAATGTTATCTTTTATCCACAAGAAGAAGTTAAAGAAAGTGATGTTAATGAAATAGTAAGTATGGCAATATCGCGGGTATATCACGTTCATAAAAGCAATCAACGAGGTAGTAAATAATAATGTACAACGGTTTAGACGAGAACGATTCCACCGATTTTATTATGTACTATATGTTCATAAGAGTCGCGGGCAACCGGTGGATGCAACCGGTGGATGCAAATGGCAAAGTGTCGTTCGTTGTGGCGTTCTAAGGGGGAGGCCTATGTTCAACAGTGGACGTCTTGCGGCTGATGATGATGATGATGATGATATGTTCTCATGTTATCTAAATGTACGTGGAGAAAAACGGATCTGCCGTTGCTTTTAAAACGTTTTACAGCATCTTGAATTCTCGCAGACACATTTGTATTCTTTAGATGCTAGGCTAAGACGGAAAAAAAAAGAAGAAAAAGTAAAAGTACAGAGTAAAAAGAGAAGATTGAAGTTAAAAAATGAACAAATTTTTTTTAAGGAAAAGTACTACAAAATGTACGTGTCAATCAGTTGTCACGTAAATATGCTAAGTGTAAAATAACGTAAATTATCGTACCTTCTTGTTTTTCCCTGAAACAGTCACTTTCAACAAGTGACAGTTTATGACGTCACAAGAAAGCAGATGTAGCATTATAAGGATTTTGAAGTCCCTAAAGATCTGAACACACCACCGGTTGACTGGTAGAGAATCAGGTCTTGTGTTCTTAGATTTCGAAGGTAATGCAATAAAAATGCTAAATAACAATGTAGAAGGAAGGCGTTAAGATTTTCGTCGCTGTGGCTATCACCCGTTTAGCTCAGTGGCTAGAGCGTCAGGCCGCGAATGCCGAAGACGTGGGTTCGATTCCCACAGCGGCGACAATCTTTTCGTACTTTTTCTACATATTTTAATGTTCAATCTTAAGTGCAGAGATTAGCACTATAAAAAACTTTAAAATTTATAATGCAATAAAGATTAAATGAATAAACTAAAGTGATCAAAAAACTTGGACTTTGAAAATTCATTCCCAATTAATACTAAATAGTTGTTAACACCCGAGACGACCTATTAATCGGGACAGAGGAAGATAACGCCGTGAGGTGGGGCGTTTACATCGAATTATGTAGATGCGGCGGCCTCGGTTCTTGGGCCTTGAGAAGCGATCGATATTAGGAAAGTCGAGACTTTACGAGTATTAGAAAACTTAGTCTGCCGTTCGTCGTGAAGCTACCCGGCACTACCAGTCTTTTGGGCAATACTATTAAAGACTGTAGGTTAGTTGGCCAAAATAAAATAACAAGAATTGCGTTAAATAATGGCTAAAAAATGTCCCGCTTATTTTCTTTCGCCGGTTCTTCTCAGGCCAGTGGCTTTTCTTTTCCGCACCGGTGGTAGCGTTTTGACAATCAATAAGTAAGCAGAAGCATCTATATTGAATAAAGATATTCGAAGTTGAATTTAAATTTATATATTAGTTGTTATCCGCGGCTTCACGCGCCCGGCACAAAGGAATTAACAATGAGTTTTTTATTATACACCAGAATACCTCTCAGATGGCTGAATTTTTTCCTACTTAGTTGAAATTTATCATTATCTATATTTTGGACAATTCACACAATATCTTTATATAATATAGCCTATGTGTTATTCTGATGTATAAAATATATTATTGTAAAGTTTCTTTAAAATCTATTCTGTAGCTTTGGTGTGAAAGAGGAACAAACATCCATCCATAGATACAAACTTTCGCCTTTATAATATTACTAAGGATTACGCTACTTCCTACCTATTTGGACTGAGTAACATTCTGTAATAAAGATACAGTGTTCTTTTCTAACACTAGTAAAAAAACAAAAGAGTCATTAAAACTACACTCCAAATCAATACACTCATTAAATGACTACTACTGTTTATAAAATCGGCTTATTAAATTATTGCTAAGCATGATTTATTATATAATACCGTACTAGGCATGGTTTAATATTTATTAGGTATAATTGTTATTAAGCAGTGTTGCCAGTAGAATGTAAAAGTAATGAGTACAGTAAGCTAA